GATTACAAAAAGATTACAGCCCTGAATTTAATAGAACATTACATACCTGTGTAATAAGGAAATGTTTGCAATTTTTAAACAGATAACTCCATCAGGCTATTCAGAGAGTTTCTGCAGAGATGGACCTTACAGGAGTCCAAGTAAGCCTCAGCTGGAATGTGACACAACTGGCAAGCACTTTAGCAGAATAGGAATGAGTGAACATGAAGCAGAAGAAAACTTGCTTACATCTCTTTTAAGAGAAAATAGAACATCTGTACTGGAATCTACGTAAGTATGAGGGATATGCATTCCTTTTGACAGTATTTCTATTTGAGAAGAGAATAAAGTAATTTTGCTAAAGTGAATTTAGATAATGGCACTGTCTAATTTACCTGAGAGATTGGCAAGGCGCCTTCAGAGCCATTTTAGTCTATCATGCAATTAAGTAATTAGGAAACATACTATCAGTAGAAATCCTTATGAAAAACCCATTACAAGAAAAAAAACTCCCCAAAGTTACTGATCTGTGGAGCTTTACTCTAGGGACTGTTCGTTTTCAGGATGGGGTCTAGCACTGTTAAAGGACACACATGATAATAGGTGATACTATTCTTTTTAAAAACAGAATGTCTGAGAGCACAGGCCAGTGAAGGGTGATGTGGTGGAGGGGGAGACACGGTACTGCTGTAAAAATTCTGTGTAAGGAACTGAAGGGGGAGGAACTGGATTTATGATGGCTGATGTCCAGGGTTGATTTTGAGTGGACATTGCCGTACGCTTTGTGGCCTTTGCCATTTCATCTGAACTGCTGGGGCAGAGCTTTGCTCTCTGGCAGCAGCCTGAGGAGGCTGAGCCCATGCCCTGCAGTCAACTAATTGGTTGTTCCAGTGACACCACTTGTAGGTCTGTGCTGAGATGAGCCACTTTTCATGCAGGAGAAATGACTCAATCTGTCTAAGCCCTAGTGTAACCAAGGTTCTGCAGGTGTGTGTGTGCTACACTATGCATTGATCAGTTCCCAGCTGGGAGGCTCATTTCCATAGGAACTGGACAACAACAAGCAAGAAAAGGGTGTGTAGAAAAACCACACCCTGACTAGTTTTGTTTCACCCAATTTTATGCTTACACCACTTAATCTCCTAGTTGAAAACTGAATTGGAGCTTTGGTGGGATCATCCTCACTTTCCTTCCCTAGCTCCCTCCACACTGTAATGACCACATGCAATGTTATGTGGCTTTTCAGTGCTGTCCCTTGTAGCCATAGTGGTTTCTGGAGACTAATGGGAATGACCTTCCATATACATTGTGCTCAGCAGTGCTGATAGCAGAATATCTCATGGAGTCAAAGACAAGTCAAATCCTGCTTTCTGTGTTCAGCATGCACTGCACTTGACTTTACTCAAGCAATTCTATGTTGTTACATTACTATTTAAAACTCTCCAACAGACATAAATGATCTGAGTTGTCAAAGCACTAGTTAGTGGTAGATGAGGAGATACTACTGTCTTAGATGAATAGATAGCATTGTTTTATTTGTTAACTGTACTTAAAAGTCTGCTAACGAGAGATTCCAGCATCATCATCTTTACCAATCTAGTGTGTAATCTTTTTTATGTTCAAGTATAAATGACCAGATTGACTGGTGATGAGCCTGTACTTTGCAGAACTGAATTCTCACTAATGACAGTCAATGCCAGAGAAAGACATAAAAAGCCTAGTTAGCATCTACTGTTTCAAATGCTGGCTATGCAAATGCAGTTGTTTTAAATGCTGGTTTATGTTTAGTGGCACAAACAGCTCTCTGTTGAACATAAGAAATCATCCTGCGGTATTTGAGGACTTGCTTATGCTTTAAATGTCTCTAATCTGGCTGCAGTTTCTCTTAAAATATTGCTTTCATGGACCACTAGTTATCTGTGGGGCAGTTTAGTGGTCTGCAGTGAGCTGTTTTTGCAGACTTTTGGCTGCTTTCTCATTTCCATCTTCCCTGTTACATTAGAAATACACAAAGGGATAGATTTTCAGAAATACTCAACATCTAAAGTCTCCTGTGGTTTTGGTAGAATTTTATTTTTAAGGTGGTTAAATTGGAGAGTAAACCCTTATGAAAAGCCATTAATATTTCTTATATTGCTATGTTATGTAAGCAATTGACTTAGTTACCAGAGGTTTAGTTTCTGTTAATGAATGGGGAGAGGGGATGTAGAGCATATAAATAGGAGAAAAGCATTGATGAGATAATTTATGATGTAATTCATGTTGTGAGAAGGTCTCCAAAATTCTGTTCATTAGTAACTCGTTAGTGAATAAAATGGAATTCCCTGGGAATTTCAGACATTAAAGACACTGCAAAAGAGTTTCTTAGAAGGTATTGTTTGCTTAAATAAAAATCAAAATTCATGTCTTTTATTTCCTCTTTCCCTGAGTACAGCAGACAAGAACAAATGAAAATCGTAAATGAGCTCTTAGATCACCTGAACACAACTGAGGAAGAACATTCATGTGAAGATACAGAGAAAAAGGATGAAAAAGATCTTAGGCAAATGATTATTCAACTAAGAGCTGAACTTAAACATTTCAAGCAGGTCAATAAATTCTTAAAGAAGCAAGTAGAATTGAAATCAACTTTTGATGAGAAGGAGAAGCTTTATTCAGATGTAATGCCACAAATTAATAAGGATATTGAGTTGTTGAAAGTGGAATTGAAAGATGCAGCTACACAAACAATGACTTTAGAGAGTAATGTCATGAGATTCGAACATGAAGGTGAAAAAGGAGCCTCAGAAGAGAAGCAACAATATTCAAGATTAAATGCAGAAAGAGAACATCAGCAAGAAAATTTGTATAAGAAGGGTGAACAGCATGAAAGACCTTTTTTTCCAAGGAGAACAAATGAAGTAAGTTTATTTAACATTCTCTTTTTGCTTCTTAGGGAATAGATGTATAAAAGACAAAAATATGTTTCATTTCTCATGTTAAATCTTGCTTTTGTGTAATTTTTTTTAAATTAGAAAAAGAGATGTAAGCCAAACATATTTTAGATAATTGTTCTTAATGTTCAGAGCTTTTCATCACATCCTTCAGTGTGCTTTGGAACATTAATTAATTGAATTTCAATTCTCACTGGGACCAGATACTAGTAAATATTTTAGCTTTTGGAAAAAGAGGTAGTTTATAGCATAATGGCCTGATTCTGTACTACCTTCTGTCTCTGCATGGATGTTCTTAAAGCACAGAACTGTGAGCTTGCCAAGTGTTAATGGCAAATGAGGTCCACAGAATTTAAGTTCTTCCAGGTGTCTCAGAGCTACTGGTGGAGAGTTCAGGGTAGATTTCAACAGCCTCAAATCTTATGCTTTTGTTTTTTTCATTGTGTCTTGCTTTTAGAGAAGTATGACCAGTAGTACTCTATAGAACTGTGGGGGCAGTTCTTCATATTTGTTTGGAACCTAAGTGCACAGAATCTGTTCTGTGAGTACAGATGTAATTTGGTTGTGCCAGGTAAGTTTTCAAGCGTTTTGTACGTAGGCAGTCTGTGATGCCAGACAAAGAGCTGGGAAAACAGTGCCTGCTAAAGAGTTGGTGTGTATTGTTTCAGTAGCAGTTACAGAAGTGAAGTTGATACTCTTGGGAGAAATGGAGAGGGTTGTTTTTGATTTTGTGTGCTGCTGACGGAGAACGTTGTGGCCCCTTCTGTGAACAATGGTTTCCATGACTTTAGTCATCAAGAGAGTCCTGTGAGCTAGAACTGGGAACAATTCCTTTTTATTTTGGCTTATTCTTGTTGGATTCATTTTTCTGAAGGAAGGGGCTTGTAAACCAAGGGATGTTGATAAAATTTTGTCTGTACAGACATACGCATCTCAATAGAGTTTGGGATTTTAAGGAGAAGATTTTGGCGTGCACAGTTGGTCCCCAGCAAACAGCCTAGAAAATTCATGCCAGTCTTGGCCATAGGTTGTGATACCCCTGAAAAAGGAAAACCTGTTTATCTCATAAAAGCTGTGTTCACTTCATCAGACAACTGGCGTGTATCGAACTCTCTCAGAATATCTTCAGGCACATTTTTAGTTTCTTAAGCTTTCCTTATTGGTTTGGGGAGGAATGAGGATAGTAATGGAAACGTTCTTGGGCTGCTTTAATGTTCTTGGTGTGTTAGGCATTTGGTCAGTTGTGTTTGGCAGGTTGGCTGCTGCCATCCCAGTTCCTTGAGGATGCCTTGGCTGGCCTGAGGCAGAAAGGAGTGGATGTGCTTTCTCATCTCTTTGTGCTGGTGCTGAGTCCAGGAACACATGAAGAGATGAGGGCAGGTGGAAATAAGGAGGAGTAAAGATGGAAGGGGTTTGAAGACCTAGGTGATCTATTCATTATGATCTGCATGTGACAGCTTGCATTAGAACACGGATGATGGCTTTGAGTTGCTGGTCTTACTACTCAGGAGTGAAGGACAATCTCTGAAGGCAAGTAAAGGCCTGTCTGCAATCCACAGGGCAGGCCAAGAGTTCAGAGAACTGAAACAGCAGTTCCCTTTTTATCAAGTTTCTCTTTTCATTAAGTTTCAGTAGATGTTTTGATTCATCATTTTCTGCATTCCCCTCCAGTTTAATCAACTGCAACCTCAATGCCATCCCTGAGTCAATTGCTTTAAAAGCATTCTTGTTTGGACTAATGCAATGTGTCTTTTGCTTCTGAATGGCTTTTATGAATAATTTCATGTAGCCAGCTGAACTGGATTTTGGGTCATCTGGGTGACAGATCTGTCCATACAACAGCCCTGAGACTGTTCAACCTTATTAGTGCAGTTTGGTAAAACCAGCAGGAAGCTCATCCTGCCTGGATTTATTTTTCAGCCTCCAAATGATGCTGTGCTCATGTATGTACAAAAGGAACTGAGTGTGTCATTAGGAAAATAGAACTTGCCTTTTATTATTTTAAGTTGTGTAAAGACTATAATTGCTAAGAAATGAATGTGGAAAGGTATTTCAGAATACATTGGGTGGTAAAAGAAATTACAGGTCTGATGACACTGGTGGAGCAAATGAACAGCAAAAAAACCCCAAAACTAAATCTATCTGAACATGCCATTATTGATTTTTATTATTATTGCACACAGTTCCATAACCCTCATCAACGTATAGCACGATTTTATCTTTTTGGAGGTAGCACTATTTTATGCTCTGTGGTTTAAACAAGGACACACTTTCTGCAGTCTTCAAAAGGTGAGAGGCTAAAATGTAGCAACTCAAGAGGTTTTAACTTCTTGCCCTGACTCCAATGATGGAATTGCTGTTCCAGCAGCAAACGGAAATCCAGTGGAAGCAATTTATCAAACGTGTGGGTGAAGAAGCTATTCTGGTACATAAAGGATTTCTCTCTGGCAGAATAAGGTTCCTCTGTGGCTGGTGCAAAGCTATGTAGATTTTCTCAAAGTATTGAAAGTGGGCTGGTACAAAGTAGGGCTTGTTGAGTGGAGACAAAAGGAAGAAAGGAAAATACAGTCAGAAATTTGTGAAAAATAGGAGGATACTCAAAATAAAAAATATTTAAAGGAAACAGTTACTGGGCTGTCAAACTTTTATGATCTAAATGAGAGTGGAAAGTAGCTGTTGGAGAGGTCAGCTTGGGTGAGAAACTATTTTCCTGGGGCATACACAAATTCAGAGTTAACTAATACACCTACTGAGTAAAAGGCTTTGCTAGTGGATGGTGAGTTTGCTGCTGGCCTCATGAACAAAGCCCTTCACTGTGTGGCTGTGGATGCAAAAGCAGCAGTTACTTACAGAAAATTGAACCAGTGGGTTTAGGTTTTTCTTTCTCTCTGAATATTTGTTTTTCATGTTACAAGGGTATTGTGACCTTATTTTCAAAACTAATGTGACAGTTGACTGATCTCACAGGAATTATATTTTCCTGGAATGTTTGTTTGTGCTTCCTTTACCTGCGAGCTTCCAACTGCCCATTTTATGCCATGCTTTTTTCAGACTGGTTCTGCTTACCTGCCCAGGAAGTCTCGTCTGCCTGTTCTCCTAAAATCATCCAGGCTCCTAGGAAAGGTCCCTTTGAACTCCAGTATCCAGAAGTCAGATTCAAACCTACAGCATCATACCAGGGCACCGAATGAGGATCTGAAAGCTTCTGAAGTACAAACCAAACAATTTCAGTCACAAACAAATGGAGAGTTATTACTGAGTGAGTCTGGGACTGAACACCTTCAAGAAGAGCCTGCACAGGAAAGCACATCAGTGAGAGGTGAATAAAGAGCAGACATAATGACTTGTAATGCTGCTTGAAATAGCAGCTTCTTTTCTTGCAGCAGAAAGTGAAAACAGATCATTTTTACATATGTACAGTGCTGCTTGATCTTATGGTTTTCCTGGGTAGGCAAATATGTGTAGATCTTGAAAAACACCCTTTTCTTCTTTTATTTGTGCCACTAGAATGTAAACCCTCTCTATATGGAATAGGAAGTGCTGTGTCTACAGGATATAAAATATATAATATATGACAGCTTTACAGGATGCCCACACATGCTCACATATATGTCAATATTTAGGTAAATGAAAAATTTCCTTTATAAGATGCCAGACCTAGTGAAAACTGTCTGTAACAGAGACAGGAGAGCACAAAAATATCGTATTTGTTTGTGCTGCATAAATGAGTCTTTCCAATATTCTGCTGCTCAGTCAAGTCATCCGTAGCTGTTTTCAGTGTGGCTGGGTTAATTTAAACTCAGTTGTTGACAAAGTATTTGGAACAGCCAAGTATGACAAATGGTAAGGCAGAGAACAATGGGTATTGTATAAAGATTTGGAGTGGTTAAAAAAAAAAGTGTGCTTAGGAGTTAGATTAAACACTGAGGAGAGATGTGAGTGATGGGTGAGGGAGAGAGGAGGTGTAAATATAAGAAATAAGATTAAATCAAGCAGCAAGTGAGCCATTGTCAAACACTGAAGTTGTGGAGATTTTGTTGCTAATGATAAGGTTGTTGTGCTAAGGGCAGATAGAGCACAACCTGTTGTAAATACTTTGGACTAATTTTGACTACTTTTGGAGCTAATTTTGATAGGTGCCAAATCCATAGAGAATCGTGAGAAGGGCAGTACTGTTGAACTGGATCCCAAAATGAATCAAACCTCTCAGGGTTGCAGTCCTGTGGTTTCCTTTCCCCACCAATTTCTTTACCCTGGATAGCAGTTGCACTGCACGCTTAGTAGGATTAGTTTATGATCAGTGCTTGTGTTGGAGGAACTTTAGCCTTTAAAGTTAACATGTAACATTTAAAAATGCACTAAAAATTGATTAACTGTTACATGACAAAGTGATGTTTATCTTCATTTCTTGGTAGGAAGCCTTTGCAGTTCACATTCATAATTGTTACCCTTATAATTATTTCAAGTATTTTAAAACTCTGTGCAAATGCTGTTTCATGTGGCCAGTAATGTTTGCATTACATTTCCAGTAGCTCAGGCTTAGATTTGTGGGCTTTTTTTGGTGGGTTTTGTTTGCTTTGTTTTTTTTTTTGACACTGTCCCTGCTGAATTTTTTTTCAGTCACTTACTGACTTCTCTTTGTCTTCCCCCACGATTCTCCAGTTGCCTCATTGCCCAAACTGGATAGTGGTGAGGTCCAGGTGGAGCTGCAAGGTGTTGGTCTGGATACAGGGGCTGAGAATGAAGATGCGATGGACAAAAATCAGCACAGCTGTCAAGGTAGAGCATTTATAGAATACAGTATTTACAGAAAAAATGAAAAAAGGGAAAAAACCCGAAATTTTAAAACTCCAATTTCTTCTGAATTGTGCCAAATTGTAAATTACTGCAGATGATTGTCTCCCTTGCTGCTGTTTGTGTGTTTTAAGTCTCGTTTTCTTAGCTAGTATGGATTAATTGCTGTAAGAATCCAAGCTGATATTTTAAGTGTTATGCTTTCAGAGGGGCCACAGGGATTTATGAGTCTGGTTTCCAGTAAAAATAATGACTTGTATACCTAATTCTGATCTCTGTTGCTAATGTCCTCACTTCTGAACTCTTCTCTGAATTAAATGTTCGTTACTTATTGCTCCTGCATCTGTTTATGAACTATTGGAATGAGGCAATTGAATGATAGAACTTTGCTTATCTGAATTATTTGAAGGCATTCAACTAGGCTGAAACCTAATGGAATCGTTTAATGAAAATGCAAATAGACTTAATGCTGTGCATTACATGTTTCTGCATCATCCATTACTCTTTCTGGGGAGGACTTGAACAACCTTGTTAACATGTTGTGTGTGGAGTGCAGAGGATATGGCCAATTTTGTCATCCGTTCTCACATCATTAATTTTACTTGTATAAGTAGCTTCACTGGACCCAGTTGCTTGGTTTGCAGGATCATGCTCTATGGGTGCCCTTTGTGTGTGTGGACACATAGATGCACTGGGAGCTTATTAGTTTTCCTTTAATTAAAGGGGAGTGTTTAATTAAAAACTGTAACCAGCATTCTAATCAGAAATATTTCTTCCCTAATATCTGGTTTTATTTCCTCATTTTGTTATCTGGAACGTTTGCATGAAATCAGGATTGCAGAGTTTAAGAGTTCATCTGCTATCTCTTTTTTTTCCCATCTCAGTCTGCAACCTTCTTTGACATCTGTGTTACTGCAGCAACCAGCTGACAGAGAAGGAGGAGAAGCTAATGAACTTAAGTGTTGCATTCCCTTATTCAATGTCTCTTCTTGAATTTATACACAGGCATTTTCTTGGAGGCATTTCTGTCTGTGATTCTGTCACCTTTCCAGTGACACATAATGGTGTGCAGCAATCTGTGTGCTGCAGAGAACATAATTTAGCCTTAATTTCAAATTTGTTGATGCCCCAGTGTCGCAGCTTCATTTTTCTCTGGCTTTTAGGTTGCATTTGCTTTTATTCTCATGTGTTTGGGCTTGACTTGGGCCTTCATATAGAGCTGGCCCCCCATGAGATTTTGTACTGATTTAGAGCTTGAATCTGGGCATTCAAATTCTCCATGGAAACCAATTTGAAAGTACTAAGACCTCTGCAAGATCAATGAATGACTCCCAAAAGGGAGGTTCTCATTTGTAGTGATCTTTTGCAGAACTAATAGAATAGGAAAATTTAATTTACTGGTACCAGAAAATACCCATTTTCTTAAATACTTACACATACAGCTCTTGACATACTCAGAACTATAAACATAGAGTTGATGTAGGAATATACAGCTTTTATTGGGCTGAATCTGAGGTGATTCTATTACATAGAATGGAAAAGTCAACTTAAGGGATGTGATGCACATGCCAAATAAGTGCCAGTAAAACCTTCAACACTGAACATTTTGATGGATTTTGTTTAGGATACATTTTAAAGTGAAGTTATTAAAGCCCCTTTTTTGTATTTTACTATTGTGTTAATAATCATTTAAATTTCACTGACTTTGTGCTCCAGTTCAGATTTTTGAAGTGAGGAGAAAAAGAATATTTAATTAAAGTTTTAGAAAGAACCATTTAAAGTCATAGTCTTCTTTTAAATCTCAGTGCCTTATGTCTGAGTTATCATCTTTGTGAGTGGAAGGATCTGGGCTTTGTGGATATGTAATTTGGGACTACATAAAGCAAAAGTAATTTTCAGTCATTTGGGAAAGAAAGTGGGTGTATTTTGTGTATTGTTTATTTGAAAGGTGATAAGGGGTTTGAAATATTTGATCTGCAAGTTGAATTAATGGGCAAATCATAGAAAGAGGTCAAAAGTCCAAAACTAATATTGCTCATAATTATTCTGCATTTTTATTCTGTTACTGTAGAAGTAAATGAATTCATTCTAGTGCTGTTAAAAGCAGGATGTTAGATAAAGAAATATTAATATTCACATGTAAGCCTCCTGTTTTTCAGAAATGCAAAAGCATCATGACATTAGCAACGTGAATGTTCAGCCTTCATTAAAAGAGATAAATGAAGAGTTTTGTTCCATGGAACATGAGGACATTGACTCAGCCACTGCGTGTGCAGGTTCCAGGGGCTCGTGCTCACTCAAATTGAATGTAACAAGTACAGATGCACTCGAGGACTGTGAAGTCATAGATGATATAGAAGAACTGAAACAGAGAATTAAGAATATGGAGTCGGAGCTTGAGAAGTACAAAATGTTGGTGTTTCAATTGCAGACCTCTGACCAGCTTTTATCCAGTGGTATTTGCAATCTAGCTTTGAGTGATACAGCCTTGCCTGTGGAAGGGCCTGTTGCACAAGTGCAAGATACAGCTATGCAAGAAATGAAAACATTTTCTAGTGTCCATCAGCTGAAGGATTATGAGACCCACACTGAAAATAGGAATTCAGAGTCTTTGAAAGCTCCTGATACATGGACAGCACAAAACCTTAAGGAGCTGCTATCAGAAAATGAGGCAGAACTTGAAAAGGAGCAAATGGCAAATATGCATCTTGATGAAGTGTATAATGTTCAGAACAAACTCAGAGAAACATCACCATCCACGTGAGTAAAGCTGATACTGTTTCAGGTTCCTTTTTGTAAACAGCAATACTAGATAACAGAGGAAGGTAATATGAAGCTAATTTTATTCACATAGGAGCCTGTTGTTATAGCACAGACTAAATTCCACTAACACAAATATAAAGCAACTGAAAAGTTGAGTTGAAAGATGCCTTGAGGTACAAAACAGTATTTCTCTTAAAACAGAACTGCTCCTGGTAAGCTCATATCATCCTTTGTAAGGATTCTGTGCCAGACACCACTGTCTCTTCCCACACCTCGGGTCCACAAGACATCCTCACTCGAGTGAAGTCAGGTCTCCTTGGGTTTCTCTGTCAGATGGGCTGACCTCTGTAATCAGATTAACACAGTTTTGCATCACTCAGGGTTTTTCAGATGACAAGTGTAAGGAAATGGAACATCCCATTTAAGAGAGAAATGTTTCCATGGGCAATTGGCTGGCAGGTTCATGTTAGCCCTTTTGTTTGTGTGACCAGACTTCATGTGTAAAGTAAGTTTACACTCCAGTTATAATTTTACTTTGCAGCTGAGTGCTGTAATGCCTTCCTTTGAAGGATGTGAAAGTAGATATATATGTATAAAAATTAATGAATGACATTTTATAGCATAAGCTCATAAGCTGGAAAATAATTTATAGGACACTGGAAAGCATCAGTCTTGGTTTTTGTAGGATAAGACTGGGGACAGCGTTTTGGCAAGCTTATGTACAAATCACAGACATAGAATGGGCTCCCATAAGACCAAACCTTTTCTGATTTCCCACCTCCCCCCTTTTTTTCCCTACTCTAATATTATTATTGTCCTGGGAGCCTATAGAATGGCAGGAAGTATAACAAACAAAGGTATTCAAACCTTTTGGCTCTCTTTGGAGTGCTTGAGTAGAAATATTTGGAGACACTGAGCTACCACCAACACAGACTATTGTATAGCTCTTAGTATTGCTGTCATAAAATACAGTTGTGCTACATGGTACATATAAATTTACATACCTTGAAAACCATCCATTTTACAGAGGAAGAGTTAACTGTAAATTCAGGAATGAGATAGTGTGGATAGGTGTGAAGTTTTAATGGCTGCTGTCTAGGACAACTGTATGAGTCACAGGTGACAGACCCAGAAATGAGTTATGCATTTCTTCCTATAAAAATGCCAATACAAATTCTCTGAAGCCTCACACCATTGTGGATTTTGTTGATGCCCCATATTTTGTTTCCCTGCTATCTCTTCTTCCATAGCGAATTAAAAACCAAAACAAAGCACAAAACAACCAGTCAGGAAAAATATATGTATTCTTAAAATTTTTTTCCATTTAATCACCCTTACTTAATTTAACTTGGTACCCTTGCATGCCATCTGGGTTATTTCCAAGCAGACAAAAAAGTCATCACCCTAGTTTCTGCCCATCTTTTAAATGAAGCAGTTAAGTGAAGGATAATAACCCACAAGTTATGCCCATAAATACAAAATCCAACAGTTAGAGACAATACATTTCTCATTCTGGCTGTAAAAGCATTTTAAAAGAAAATTGAGTCACATAAAAATATAGCTTAGGAATATAAGTTGAATTCACTTTTTATTTATATTTAAATGTTATTTATGTTCAGTACATTACTTTAAAGCTAATTCTGTTTTCTCAGATACAAGTCATTGGTTCATTCACAAGCTCAAGAACTCTCCTCTCAGTGGCAACAAATTAAAGAGATCTGCAGCAGTTGTGTTGCTTACCATCAGCATCTGAGGAGCCTTATCAAAGCTTTTGAGGAACTGCTGCAAGCCAGTGATGTAGATTATTATGTTGCTGAAGGCTTCCGTGAGCAGCTGAATCAAAGTGTGCTGCTGTTTGAGAAGCTGGAAAGGAAATTCCTGTATGGTAAGTGGCAGTATTTTGTGCTTTTTGTCTGAGATGTTACAGTCTCAAAATTAGGTTTCCTTTTGTTTGTTTTTTTTTTTTTAGTGAAAAGGAAACCTAACTTCCTCCTGGTTGCTTTTAAATCATTTGTAGAGAGGGACTGTCTTGGAAGGTAAAATTTTAGTCCTCCAACAAGACTGGATTTTACTTTTGAGGCTGTCCTCTGTATTGTCACCTTCTATGTTGAGTTGCTTATCTTAGCACATGCATATTTTAACTGTTCAAGATATAGTGCTTGTAGTTTAGTGAAAGTTTAGTCACAAGGAGGCTTCAGGATTTTCTGCTTCAGGACATAACCAAGATGACTGTTGAGCTCAAGCACTGGATGTCTCCTTTGAAGGGTTCTCATGGGCATGGTTCACAGCTGGTTTTTAACACAATCTGTGTTTAACTAAAAAGAAAAAATTACAGGTTCCTGAGGTCTTTCCCCTAAAGTGCAGTTGCTTGCAAGAAGGGTAAATGCAGTGCAGAGATCTGGGCTGTGCTTTTAGAGTGAAAGAAGAAATTACCATATAGTGGTCCATCGAGGCAATTTTCCATGGTCAGTGCCTTTAAAGAAACTGCAAGAAATCCTGCATTGGACAGTTGGAGGATAATACTGTGCTGATTGGGACATTATTATATAGACATAAACCACGTTAAATTGTATGCAGGTGTAAAATAATCTGTCACTGGATGCACCAAGAAAAAGAGCCACAGGCTTTATGGAGAAACCCCCCCAAATGATGCACATAGAAAATAAAAATAATGGGCAGGGGAAAGGAAAAATTGTATTTATTTAGAAGGCAAAGGAGAGTAATTCCTTTCAGAATTTTGAGTAGCTCATGAATTTAAGAGACTGTGGCATTGCAAACTGGTGTGTATTTGAGGGTTTCTATAGGGTGTAGTAGTAGAAAGAGAGCCTCCTGAGCAAGAGTGCTGGGAGAAGTCAGCCAGAGAAGTGTTGTTCTGGTGTTGGGGAAAGGTGAGTGCTGAATGGTGTGTGTACCCACAAAGGGCATTGTAATGTGTACCAGTCAGCAAAGGCCTTTTCATTACCAGTGAGAACTGGCATCTTGTTTGGAAAATGTGAGCTCACACATGTAAAAATGCTCTGGTGTTTTTTCTCTCTATCCCAGTTTCCCCACCTATTGTTTGGCAAAGCATTAAGCTGGAAAGACAAAGCCTTAAATGTCTAAGAGGTGGGCCCATATCAGGAGATGCATTGTTCCTAACATTTCTAATTAATTTCTTAAGACACCTACATCTTGCTGAGTAGTCTGGCTGGTTAAGAACATGCTATCTTCCATAGCAGAGAGCTAAAATGCAACCATGTTTTGTAAAATGAGCATCAGAATTGGCATTCCTCACCTGGAGGAGGAATACATCATGCATGTGGCCTTCAGTCCATAGTTAGAAGAAAATTAGCAGCAAAGCAATGGAAAAGGGATACTGATGTGTGGAATTCAGCAAGAAAGACCTTTTCCTATTGTGACAAGTTTTGCCCTTTCTGACCCAAGCAACCAGCAACACTTCCACAGATGTCAGCTGCAAATCTGACATCTGCAGTGGAACACTGGGGGTGGCCTGAAACAGGGACCCTGACCCCCACATCTCCCTGAAACTGGCTCTAGAAAATCACTTTGTGTAGAACCGTTCGGGGCCCAGGCAGAGCAGGGTCTGCACTGTGCCTTTCATTAAAGGTAGTGGCAGCATGTTGCAGCTTCAGTGGCTCCTATAAAGGAGTTGTATATGAGTAAAAAGTATTATGGCTGGTGTGTCACAGCAGTGTAATAAAAGATGGAGTGTATTCAATGATTTCAGTGGCTACAGAGATTCCTTGCATTACAAATGAGAAGGCTGTGTAGTGAATAAACATTAAATGCCTTTAAACCAACAGATGGTATCCTATATACTATGAAAAGTCACTGACAACTGAGACAATTCAATATATCTAACACAATGCTGTTGCACTGAATCACACATTAAAATAAAATGGTGTTTGTAGGGTTATAAAAAACATCCAGTGTACTAAGAATTGACTGTAAAGAAGAAGCATAAACAACCGTCTGTCTGCATTTCCATCCTGACCTTCAGTTCATTCCCCTGAAATTTCAGCTGTGCAACTCTTGCCTGCTGCTTTTGCTTAATTGCACAAAAATTTTAAAATATGGGCAGCCAAGGTGACACCATGAAACTCTTATTTCCTTATTCAAACTAGGGTCTGAGTCCAGGTCTCTTGCACTGAGTTGTGCTTGTGCTCACACGCTCTGGCACTGAGAGTATTGGAGGTAAAATCCTGTGTATGACCCTTTATTAAGGATGACTGGTTAGCCTGGCTCTGGGTGGACAAAATCCAAGTGCAATGGAATTTGATTTATATAGTTTTTATTAGAGGATTGATGGCATGTACCTCTAATCCTTTTGCCATATAGCTCCATATTTTACATCTGTATGCTAACTAGAACAGCAAGGCTGTAAAATTTGGCACCTGTGGTACCCAGTAGTTTTTTGTTTGAACTCCAGAGGAAGCTATTGCTTGGTTGCTGGGCTATAAATAGTTTTGCTCATGTACATTATCTGACACTAATACAGTGTGTTCAGTATCTGTTGACTGCTCTAATTCCTCATTAATTTACCATTCTGTATTTAAATAGTTTAAGATGGAGGGGGGGGAAAAAGTATAATTCTCAGTATCTGTTTTTAATCAGCTATTTCTGCTTTGCAGGAGGATCAATAGGTACAGAAGTTACTATACTTTATGAGTTAGCTCAAAGGTAAGTGCAGTGCATTGTTTTTTGGGGGGGCTGTTTCACTGATATCCAATCTCTTAATAAAATATCCATAAACACCAAACTGAGGCTTTTTTCCCCCACTTCTCATCAAACAGCTGAGATGCTGAGCAGAAGCATCATGCCACCAGGACTGTTCTTTCCTGAGCAAACACCACATGTGCCATGACACACTGTTGTGTATGTTCAGGTAGTGTCCTGGTTCCAGCTGCAAGCAGGGGGAGTCAGCTGCTGCCTCTCTGTGTCTGTGACCTTGGGGGCTGGCTCAGGATCACTGAAGTGCAGTGCTGCTGAAGTTCACTCTCAGAACATCCTTCTGCTGAAGGTGAAGAGAGCAGGTGTTGTTATGCTGTGTGTGTTGGTTTTATGCCAGCCTGGGATTCTTCTGTGCTGCAGAAATCCTCAGCTGCCCGTTCTAGGCAGCCTGAGGTCCCCTTAATGTGAAGGTGACTACCTGCCATGTGAACACTGTGCTGGAGGGCCATGGATTGCTCCTGCTGGCTTCAGTGGGGGCTGAATTCAGTCTTGATGCATACCTCTGATGTGGTCTGGTTTGTCAGGTTCTGTCACAGAAGTTCACTTGTTTTACCTGTAAAAAAAACCAAACCCTGTAAATTCGCCACCGTGCTCTCTGCTCATGCTTCCAAAGTAATAAAAGAAATTTTGTCTTTTAAAACGTTTTGTTTGGCACAAAAGGGATAATGAGAAGAACACCACAATGTACCAGCAAGTGAAGGATGAATCACCTGTACCATCTGCTCCTCATAGCTTCTCTGACTTTGATATGTCAGAAAAGTCATCTCTTGGGTCACCCGAGCATGGACATGACCTGGAAGGACAGCATGGCACACTGGGGCTTCACCCAAACAAGTTTCCCCCAGGTAATATTTTTTTTTCCCACTGAAGATTTGCTAGATATTGGGGAAAATGTGATAAATAAGACACATGGGAACTAATTAAGAAATAATGAAGAACGTTTGTCTGCTTCAGCTTTCCAGTCTCTTGCATAATCATTGTGATTTCAGTAATAGGGCATACAGAGATGACAACGGTTTGAACTACCTCCTGTTTGAAACAAAATTAACTATGATATTTTGTGCCTTTGTTGTTTTAGACTATCATCTTTTACAGTACTCCAGACGGTCTCTAAATAGACAAGTTATAAGCAGAAAATAGACAATTGTCAAGAGTTTATTACGTAGAAAAAGAGAGGTTTTTCTAATTTTATAAAAGCCAGTGTTGTGTTTCTTTGAGACTTGTAAGTGCTGCATAATTAATAAGTGGTGTCATGTTTGACCTGGATAGTTTCACTAAGCACAAGTGATGCTTGCAGGAGTTTGTTATTGGCAGCTATGAAAATTTAATGGCTGAGGTAGCACGTACTGTTGAGGAGAAAAATATTGCAGTGTAAACCAAGAGTGTATGACATGGATAAACTGACAGGTAAGATAGTGACAGAGAGAACTGATGAGTTCCTGAGTAAAGCTGAAACTTACAGCCAATGGAAGAGAAAGTGTAAAATGGCAAAGCAAGGAGGAAAAGGTAGGGTAATGAAACTTGATAGGACTGATTTATTTATTGTAGTGTGCTTTGTGTAAGTCAAAGTCAAATTTATATGTGAGTTACTCTGGTAAGCTTTCTATTGTTGTAGGGGGAAATCTCTACTATTGGTGTGTTGAGCCTGAATGGGAAGCTGTGTTGCAGAACTTTGGATTCATTTCCCAGTACAGGGGATGTTTTAACTAGATAAAATTATCTGCTATGGTTTTGTAGGAAGTAAAGAGCCTTAAAACTGGACCATTGTTTAAGTTAAAATGTAGAGTAGGAGGTTTCACTGCAGAGTTTGGGAAGAAGACTGTTATGGAGTCACATATTCAATGTCTGCCATTTTTAGCAGCTCTGTATTGTTTTTTAGTATTCACACACATTAGATTTGACAGGAGTACACAGTGTAAAGGAATACAGTCATTTACTCTAAATAAGAAGTGGTCTCTTGGTTTATTTAGAGTTATTAATGGAGCATCTGCAAGAAATTAGAATCCTGAGACAACGTTTAGAACACTCCATAAAAACTAATGAGAGACTGAGGAAGCACCTTGAGAGACAAGTCACAGACAAGGAACTAGATCAAGGTAAGAATTTATTTCATGATAAATTAAATCCACCTTTCCTGCTCAAAGCCTGAGGGATCAAAAGCTGCTGGCAGTGTTTTGTGTGCTTTTTTGAATAACCTCCACCCCTTTGCAGCTGAAGTGATGTGCCTTTCTCTGAGTACTGCTGCATCCTGAGCTCCATCAGCAGACACAGCTTTTCCCCGCTGCCTGGAGAGGCTTAAATACAGATCTGGCATGCCTCTTCCTTGAGTCCACTGCTTGAAGTGTATCCAGTACCAAGGCACTGGTGTTTTATGGGTACAGGCACACCACACAGCCTCAAACCTGCAGTGGCACATATTGCTAAGGGAGCAGGACTGCCAGCTTGGTTTGTGACATTTGATGATGCTGTGGTAGAATTTCATACAGGGAATTGAAAGACCCTTCTAGTTGTGTTATCAGCAAACAGCCTGTGGGGTAGGATTTGGTTTGGTTTTCTGTGCCTTGGGCATATCATTATTGTTGTAATTGCCTTGAATTTTAGGATGTCATCCTCTTAATCCTCTGCCATGTCTAGCCAGGGACAGTTGAGAAGAGGAAGCCTATCTTCTCAAGACAATTTCAGTGGAGCCTGGGCCCAGGATGAGTGTAGGAGGTGCTTTGCTCCAGATGACATTGCTGCTGTTGATGCAGAGTAGGAGTGTTGTGGAATTGGCTTACCTGTTCCAGGTACAGCTGCAGTGGGCAGTACAGCCCCACTGCTCGCAGGGCTGGTGGAGGTGCCTTCTCTGGCATCTTCTGCCTGCCTTAAAGCCAGCTTGTGTTCACACACAGGGACAAATTGTCTGGAAGACAGAGCCTGGGCCGTGCTGTTCAGCTTGGCATTTGAATTGATGGGTGTGATAAAGGTGTTCTGTGCAAAAGGACATCAGGGTTTTTAATGGGAAATACCTGGCAGAAACTGATGGACATTTCAGCACAGGGTTGGTTTGCATTCCAAACTCTAATATGAAGTGGTGTATGAAAATACTACCAATAGTTGTGCAAATTCAGAGTCACTGCTCTCTGTTGGTAGCCAAGCTCTGTGGTGAGTTTAAAGCTTTTCCTGGGGAGGTAGCCAGGCTTTCACTAAGGATGCTTTTGTGGCACCTTTTCAAGCACACAGTACCACCCACTTCCCTGCACTTCACTCAGTTCTTCCCACATGTTCCAGTAGGACAATTGATTAATATGCAATATTACTCAGACTGGAAGCAGGCAATAAATACACATATGCTTTCCTCTTACTGAGTTTCACTAATATTGACATTAGATTCATTATGTTTTACATCATGCCCGTGATCCATTTCTGTTGTTGTTTAAATGGAGACTACCTGCAAATGGCAGTTTGCTTTCAGGAATAATTTACAGTGAGGGAAGGCTGTATAAAAAGCATCCATTTCATTCATGGAGTATTTACACTGCTGGAAAGGCATACTGTTCTCGTGAAATAACCACACTGAAACACTTCCAGCTCTTTTACAGCTTCATAAAGATTCTGGCAAGGACATCCATTAATGCAGTGAAAGTATATTTTCTTTATAAACTGTCTTACGCCTTCCATCCGTCTTCTTGTTGCCTTAGTGTATTTACCAATGCATGGAGGAGAACTTTGGAAAAAAAGAAGGAAAAAAGTAACTAGCTATTAGAACAGCTCCTTTTTGTTACTCTGTTCCTTCAGTGCTTCCTGATTCTTTCCCTTTTGGAGATGTCTTTCATGTTACCAGATGTGTCTATTCTCTCCTCTAGTAATGATGCTACTTTTTTTCCTAATAAATGGACTTCTTTTGACTTGCAGTATAAAAAGAACTTCCTAAGTGAAGCTGAAACAGATTGTAACTTTGGAATATAAAAATTCAAAACAATTTTTTTAGTTTTTATCCTTAGTTTGTTTTCCTTTAGAAAACAAAACCAAGTTGTAACATACTTAACTGTTGATGAGAGCTTGTTAAATTCATCTGAAATTGAGTTGTTTGTTCAGCCAAAGTTAATGCATAGAATTACTCTTGTCTGATAAATATTATATGGATGCACATACACACATCTGCCCACTATTTCTGCCATGCTATTTTTAATATTTAGATTTTCCAAGTATTTAAATGCCTCTGGGCTTCTAGTATTCTATAAATGACTCAAGTGCTGGTAATGACTACATCGTTACTGTAGAGCTGAGGTTGCAGTGCAAGTACAACTAAAATAATTGCTTCAATCATTTCAGATGTTAGGCTTCAAAATAAAATCAAAGGTTTAATTTTGAGTTTCCTAGGTTTCAAATGTTATTAACAGCAGTGAACATTAAAAGGGTTTTTTATTTGCTTTTTTTAACCCATGAGTAACTAATGTATCTACCCAGACTTACCTGCTTCAGCTTTAGTATGCCTTTATTTTGCTTTACCTGGGGATGAATATTTCCTTCCTCTTTGTTGTGATTTTCAGTAGTCTCTGTCTTTGAGTCAGAGTTACCTTTTGAAAACTTCAAGGTATGCTTCCTTAGCACTCACTTTTTCAGCCCAAAACATAATGAAAACTCAAGTGTATTGCAATTGAAAGCCCTGTAGATGCTCCACTTCACTCTGGCTGGCTGGACCTTTGCATCTATGGAGAGTGTAATTGATGTCAGCAGGGCTCTGCACAGAAGTAGTAGTCTCAGTAGTGGGTCAAATCGTAGGATTGTGGCCTTATTACCACTGGCTCTACATTATCCCTTATTATGTAAGATAACTAATAGTTATATTCTAAAGCCTTTCAGTAGAACTCTGATAGCATAACTTTTCAAATAGGATAAAGCTGGGTGATGGGCAATAAATTAAATTAGAATCAAGATGAGACCATCAAGCCTTGCCACTTCAAGTTGAATTGCTTTGTTAAAATCTGAAAGGAAAAAGCCTTTTGAGTTCACATAGCTACCTCAACTCTTTAACATATAGATAGTAAAATGCCATTAGTGCCAGGCTTCTAGAGCCTTTGAGTCTTTCAGTAACGACAAGAGGTGCATATCATGGCACACTACATCCCAGTTAGGCAGTGGGTAAAAGCTTCAGTTGGGATTACAATAAAATGAGATTACTGAGAGGAAGTGCAGCACATCAAATTGAATTGAACTGCCAGAGCTGAAAAGCATCCTCCTCATACATTCAGCTCATTTTTTTGCCAGCTGGTTATTTCTTTATTAACCAAATAGTTGACACTCATGTAGTTACCTCAAGCTTTGAAGCACAGGAGATACTGAGATAACCAATTGACTGAGAAACACTTTTAATAGTAACGTTAATTCTGGTGAGTCCTGAAGTGTTTTACTACCTATAAGCAGATTATAAAGGGCAATAACAATTACTTAACTTGCATTTCAGAGGCAGCCACCTTCAGAGTGGAATGTGGCACTTCTCAGACTGCACTGTAACACCACACATGGCTGTGGGATGAGCAGCATAAGTACACTGCATTATGAGGACTACCTAGGCTGGAGTTTGACTGACTGCATACACAATTTAGCACCTTTATTCATACAACTAGCACAATAAGATCCTTCAAGTAGTATTCATCACCAATGAATGATGCTCATTGAATGTTCATTCATTGGGGATTCATTTGATGTTCAAAAAAATGAATTTTTTGTTTTTCCAAAAGTGAAACATTGAAATCTGTGCTGGTTACTCAGAGCTTCTCCTGGAAGCACTGGAGGGAAGTACACCTCTTGGGAGCACAGGGCATCTCATCCACAGAGAGGTGTGGGGAGGAAACACTGGGTGGATGATGAGTTACACTCTGGAGGTGCCTGGTTCTCCCCATGACTATTGATGGTTGATCAACACTGGCTCGGTTACCTAAATGTTAGATATACAAATTTAAGAGGGATGAATCTGCACCCCTGTGATCATAAATGGGTTCTCAGTTTGAAGTCAGAGGGTCAGAGGCAAAGACAGTGACTCCAGGCTCATGCTCTAGACTAGTGTGGTAACACATCCGTTACCAGACTACCCTCCATTAACCACCATGGACTAGCTGGTAGAATCTAGTGGTCCTCTGCAAGACTGAAACAGATGGTAAACCTTCCTAGAGTTTGCATTATTTTCAAAGAATAACAATGTCAGAAAATACTCCTGCATTTTGTCCTGTTGGAATATTAGCTGCTAAGTGGAGATCGCCAGGGATAATTTTGTAATCTTGGTCAATGGTTGCCCAGCACTGAGGGGCACTTGTGCTGCAGGGCTTTGGATTACTTGGCATTAACCTGAATTGCCTTTTAGTCTGTGGGGATAACCTTCAAAATATATAAGGGAGAAATATCTTTCATAATGTGTTTTTCTGCAATTTTTTAAATTGTTCTTGTGTGGAAAGTTTAATCTTTAATGACCTAGAGATGACTCATAAATCATCTTTTATGTATATATTTATAGGTTCTGCAAACATTTTTATCCATGGCTCAGAGCAGCATCATTCCCTGTCTTCTGAAATACATTTCCTGAGGAAGCAAAATCAAGTTCTGAATGCAATGCTAGCAAAAGGATCCAGAGGTAAAAATGTAAAACTGCTTTACAGGAGTGGACTGCAATTCATTCCAGATCAGAAAACAATGAAATATTAACTGCTTATTCATCTAAGTGACTTAATCTTTCTTCCCACCTCTGAAATTCCATGCTCAGCCATAAGCATCCAAGCCAGGGTTAACAATGATAAAGTAGCAGCAGTAATGCTCCTTCTTTCTGTTTATTTATAGCATTTTCCATCTGATATTCACTTTTATTTCTCTGTTTTTCTTTTTGCATTCCTTTCCTTTTATGTATTTTTCTTCTTCTTCCCTCCATGCCTTTTATTACCATTTTCTTGCTTTTTTTCTCATGCTTCCGTTCCGAAGCCCTCTAAAAAAGGAAGAGAGCCATAGAATAGCATCATTGCTGCAAATGAAAGCATTTGGTATGAAAGAGTTGCAAAAGGAAGCAAACTAATTACATTGAGGTTCTCAGGTCTGCTGCAGAGATTTGACTGGACAGGCCAAGTCATCCTCTTTTCTGATACACTTTAGAACAGAACTGAGGGAATCCATTTGGAAGTATTTGTAATCTGTGGGATTAATTTTAAATTTTCCTTATTTCCACACCCATGAAGGGAGAATGTTGAAGTCTTCCCTCTTTTTTTCCCCCCAAGAAAACCAGCAACTCACCAACTAGGTTCTTAAGAGCAGTGTAAGCCACAATGAGGTTTAAGTCTCCATATTTTCAGACTGTGTAAAAGCACTGGTGCTTTTCCCAGACTTATGTATTCTTTCATCTGTTCTGATGCATCTTAATGCTTATCAGTTTGTTCTAGTTCTACTTTTTAAATTGAATATATTCCCACTTTTGTTTCCATGGTTGACAATATGATGTGATAAATACCAAGATTTCTTTCTTATAAGAACCATGATGAATAGAGCATTGTTGCCCTTGTGTTTTAAAATAATGTTGGTATCTCCTGGAGTTTGTGAGCTTCTTTTCTTTTTAGTACTCAGTGCAGTAGAGAAAGAAAAGCCTCTTAGATACCTTCTGCATGTTTTGGTCTTGGGTGCTTTCTGCCTGTAGTCTTAGTTAGCCCTTCAGTAGTGAAAGGCTGGTGATGCACATTTTTAACAGCCCGTGGGGTTTACCATTTTCATACACTTTCATCAAGGCTACAGAAAATGAGGGGATGAATTTCTACCTGCTGGGAGGTGGAACGATTCCTCCCTGCTGTTTCTTTGCCATGATTACTGTCTCCTTTTCCAATGCTAAACGTAGGGCCGTCAAAAACTTGGGGTCCCCGTAAGCCTTTCTGATTGCAGTGGTCTCACAATGCTCAGTTGCCCCTCTCAGCAATTCTTTGTCACAGAGCCAGCTTGGGGAAATAGCTTGTGCCAAGGCAGGAAGGGCTGATAGGTTATGTTCTCCAGGTGGATAGGGCTGGGAAGGAGAGGACAGTGGGGTTTCTGTGAGACAAAGGGCAGCATGGATGCAGCATGCCTTAGGACAATCCCACTGCATTCTTTCCTTCCTAAAGAGAAGTAAAATCCATTGTTTTGTGAAGACTGCAAAGTTCACGTGACTGTTTTGGGATCCTGCTGCCACTAGTAGTCAAATAGTATCCTTCTGACCAAATTCCAAGAGGTGTTGGGGGCATTTGGCATATAAGACTGTACACAGGTTTTTACTGAGCATTTGTGAGTCCTGGGGCTTAAATGTTGCACGTTCCAGAAAACATATCTAGCAAAAGCCATTAGAAAATTGAAACACTGAAATCCTAAAATTCACCAGAGCATCTGTTCTTCTCTGACAGTCTCTGAAAAAGATGGTTTTGTTGAAAAGCATCATTTTAGTGGCTTGTGGGCTTTGCAAATACCTTTTGTTTCTTTTTGTTTCAGATAAGCAGAAGGAAAATGAAAAGTTAAGAGAATCCCTTTCTAAAAAGAGTGTAATCATTGAGCATCTTCATGAGGATTATGAATGCATCAAGAGAGAAAATGAAAGGTTGCAAAAGCAAATAGGCCAAAAGGAAGATGAAACCAGATATCTGACATGTCAAATTTACAGCAGTCGTAATGAATTAAACAGGTATTGATTCTGTCCACATTTAGACATTTATTTAGAGAGGAAAATTGTCAATGTGACAAGCATGTGTTTAGCCATAGCCATTAACATTAATGAGGTGCACAGATAGATTCAAAAGGCAAGGGAAGAATTATGGAGGAAAGGGAAATGGATTTTAGATTATGAAGCAAAATATAAGAATCTAACTTCTAACTTAGCCATTTATTTGGACTTGCAAACAGGTTGCAAACAGAAATTAACGTAAAGCAACATCAGCTCTCTGAGAATGAGAAGTTACTGCAGTCGCTCCGCACTGAGGTCAAGGTGTATGAAAAGTTGGAAGAAGCCAGAAGGAAGAGGACAGGTATGAATGCACAGTGGTTTCTATGCCCTTAGCCCTTGCAACCCTTCCCTCTCCAAATAGGATCTTGTCAAAGGACTGTGGGGCTAGGGCACCGTTTCTTTGTGTCTGCTGTGCAAAGTAAAACTGACAACTGGGTGAGAAAAAGCTGCTTCTCACTTAGGAGTGAACTGCAAGGTTGAGATGCATGATATGTTCTGACCAGGCACACCCAAGTTTCCTTTATCTTTTTAGCTAAGCTAAAAACAAATATTGAAGATTGAGTGGCTCAGGCTGGATAAGCTTCACGGGGATCTTTACATGTTTGCTTGTCAGCTAAATACGTGCTGCTGCATCCTCACAGGTAGAGCTTCCTCAGGTAGCTTGTGCTTTCCCTTGTCTGAATAGGAGGACAGTGTCTTCTCCCTGGGGCTGGGGAGACATGCTGGCTCTGCTTTCTGAGTGAGACATTTAATAATTTTCTGCCTGCTTTTCTCTCACTAAAGATGAGGAGTAGGAATGAGACTTACATGAGTTCTTCCTACCCCTTGTAAGGAAGCTGTATCACCACATAGCTGTTGGCTATGGTGATGTAAAGAAAGGTGGGATGCTGTTCACTGCTGCATACCTGTTACAGGATCCAGCAGGTTTCCCCTTGGAAGTTCTTGTAAAAGTTGTTTTTTTTTCTTCCTGCTGCTCTAAGTTACACATCCTGCCGACACTTTATTCCTGCCTAGCTGCAGCAGAAGAACCCTGTTGGCCCAAGGCTTTAAGCCAAAGTTGGCTGAGGGATGGAGGTAGAGTCTCCTTGCAGAGCTAGTAAGGTAATTAGAGAGCAGCAGCACCCTCCTCATGCAGTTGAACCCCTTCCTGCTGTCTGGAGAAGAGTTTGATTTCAGCATGAAGGAATACATGGAATTGTTTGTGTATTGACCTCCTTCTATGAAAAGATGAACACAGACCTTGGTTTTTGCAGGTTCAGATTTGTTCTCTGGTTGCCAGGTGATCACTGTTTTCTTTTTTCTTCTGTGTATAGAATTAAACTCCCAAGTCTACTCCATCCCTCCTCCGCACTCCGAGATTATCCATTCCTTTCCCTTTCCCCAGAATGTGCAGTAATGCACTTCAAATTTTGTAAATCCTCTTCATTCTCTTTTTGTTACATTTTTTTTTCCTTTTGGCATGAGACTTACTAGCTTTTATGGACAAAGTGAAAAATAATTTTCAGCTCTTTAAATCTTTCAAGGGTAGAAGCAATTAAGACATGCTTTTTTGTCAAACCATTATCTTAATGCTGTTTGTAGTTAATTCTTAATATTGAGGATAACGCTGGCTATAATTTACTTGCTCAGTATTCTGATAATGGCTAATATTATTTTAATTGTTAAAGATGTTAAGTGTTTCTTTTGAAACTGTCTCAGATCCCAGATGTGATGCATCAGAAGAATTCAGAAAAGATCAGAATAATCCACTTGATTTACGTGAACTCTTGACTGAAATACAGAGTTTGCGAGTGCAGCTTGAAAGAAGCATAGAGACAAACAAGTCTTTGCATGAAAAATTAGAGGAACAGCTTTCAAAAGGAAAGAGAGAGGAGGTGGGATCAGTGTCAGCTGTAAATATCAACTGTCTTTTCAATCAAGAACCTCAGCATCATGCAGGAAAGAACGGTACTGTGCTATCCATGCTTTTGGGATACTGTAGACCCTGTGTCTTGTTCTTTGCAGGTGCTCTTAAAGCCTTACACAGCATCACCTGTATGTTTGGGATACATTATGGTCTTTTGGAGGGGGTATCTAATGGTCTCTGTATAAATCATTTGTCCCCTTCTTGCCTTCGAGGTATAATTTTCCTTTAGTTCAATCACTGTTAAGTAAGTGATAGTGTTTTAGCAAACCAGGGAAAATGTGGTGTCTACATTCAGGGTTAGATTATTGCCCCAATATAGATGTATGTGGGATACAGAGGGCACAAGAATGTTCTTCCCTGTTGTAAAGTGCTCAGCTTAGTAACAGCTTTCCATAGTTCCAGCATAAAGCTACCTCTTCTGTACAGGTATATATGGTGTTAGGGGAACCAAAAATAATGGGGCTTTTGGGCCCATACAATCCACCAGAACATGCCTACCTAAATCTTACACACCACACAGAGCAAGCAGCACCAGCCAGGGGATTAGTGTGAGACACAACAGGGGTTTTATCACCTTACCTCTTTTGTGGGTCCACCATGTCCAGGCAGAATCACACGTCAGCTAAAATACACCATGAACATAACTCTACACTGCCCTGTACAAGTGAAGAAGGTGTTGAATGTAGCAAGCAGCATTTACAGGTTGTATCATTCTCTGTGCAATTTATACTTGAACACTAAATTACAGTCCTGTGCTCTGTATGGGGATGGTTTCTTAGGGCCAGTAATGGTCAAATAGGTGCAGAACAGCTACTGTGGGAGAACCTGTACCACCAGTGTCCCACATTGCATTTGTTCCTGGTTAGGTTCTAAACAGAATCCTAGATGTTGCTTTTGACCTACATGGGGTAGACTAGACAGGAGCTGGAGAAGCTCATTATTTGTTTAAGGACATGGTGAATAGCATTATAACAGGTTGCTTTGATACAGACCAGAAGACTCCTCAGAATGTCAGCAGCTGATTTTTGTTAGATTTTAGATATATTGTAATTAATCTTTACATCAAGATTCTCAGGGCATTTGGAAGGGCTCAAGAGGAGGGATCTTTAGTATGGTATGGCTGTGGAGAGTGTCGTACTGTTTGTGGAGTTAGTGGGAAGGTGGTATTTGTTGATTAAAGTCTTTTCATCAGGATGTATTTTAGATTTTCTGACTAGGACTTGATTTGGGGAGATAATGACAACTTTGGATAGATGCTAAAAGGATAAATGTAGGTAAATTCTGAAAGATACATGGCATGGTATGAGAAAATTGATGTTCAGAAGAATTTCTTCCCTGACAGAG